GGCTGGAAGACATCTCTGGAATCATCTCGTATGATGCCCAGCTCAGAGGAGGGATCAGCTCTGCATGTAGACTGCAGTGCTCAGGATTACACAGAAATCTTGGATTTTGAAAGATCAGTGGTTTTAATTTAAAATTACTGTTACTGTATGTGATGGAATAAACTGAACTGTTTGGGGATATTGTAACTTTTGGATCTTACATACAAATCTTAATTGAAGGACAAGTTAAAGAGGGAAAGGTGACAAGAAGGGTGGATGGAAGAGGAGATGCCACCACTTTAACTTCTTGGTGGCAGCTTAGCTTCCAGTGAACTAGTCACTGGAGTGAAATAGACATTCTGAGGAAAAGACAAATAATGCACAATCAAAACTATCCTCCAAATTCTAGTTTTGATTGCCAACTAGCAATTCTAATAACTTTTATGATTTCTGTCATTAAAATATAGGTATCTTTCAGTAAATTACAATTTGTGTAAGGTTTATGGGCATTCTACCTCCTAAAGAGGTCTTCAGAAATAATTTTTCTTTTCTAGAAAGAACTTAATAAAATAAACCACACTAGAAGGGAGTAAGGAATTCTAGTAAGAGGTACAGAAATGTCATACCTGTTTTGACAGATATGAAGTCTGATAGAGACTCAAATTTCGTTTCCATGTTAATGAAAACAAGTGAGAATCAACAGCACTGTGAATTACATTTTGCTCTAAATACTCAGCCTAGATAAAGTGCTAATTAAACTACTCCGTGCAAGTTTGTAGGGTAAGTGTTCTTTTTTTGCTAAGGCATTTTTTGGATGCCATGTCTTGGCAGTACTGTGGTCACCATTCCTTAGCTGAAAGGTGAGTAAATAGTCCCGTATTAATTGAGAAGTGTATCTTGTGGCTACAAACACTTGTAAACTGTGTGATCTGTTATCTTAATATTTCATTGGTATCTTGCTTTTTGCTGTTCTAAAATATTCCATACTATATTTATTTCATACCATAATTTTTGGATAGCTTTGTTACCATGACTGTTGCATCATTTGGAGATAAGATTTTTAATTTTCTCTGGGGTGCTGCAATTGCAAAGCCTGTTTCTTAGGAAAAAAAGTAGTATTGCTTTGTCTATTAAAAAAGGTCAGTTTTATGACTATTTGTATTTTTACTTTTGGTGTGAGAAGGGATTTGCATCTGATACATTCTCTTGTATCAATTCTTAGGTTTCTTTTCAAAACATTTGGTTTCATGGTTTTGTAGAATGAATTTAGCAAAAAACTAATACATTTAAAAAACTGAGAAGAATCATCTTGGCAGTTCTCTGTGTACTTACACTGCTGTATCAGTGGTGTTTAAGGTATAAGAGCATTGTGCATGATACACCTCAAATACTAGAGAGACCTGGTTTCTAATACTTGTAAAAGGGGGAGAATCCATACTGTATGAAATGTAAAATGTATAATTTGAAAACTGAATTCAGTATTTTTGTATAGATCTGCTTTTTACAATTGACATTAAAATGAGTTGGAATTGTGAGGGAATACAATTTTTCATGCTTGTATCTAAAGCAATTAGCAAGTATAATTCTGTATTTGCCATCATAGCAATTTTTCTAAAAGCAAATTGCTCAGATAAATTGGAGGATTGTTTGCATTAATGAGTTCTGAAGTATTATATAAGAATCCTGCAACAGAAGGAATTTGGAAAGCTTTCTTCTGAGTTGTGTAAACAGTGCTTTTACTATAGGACATTTTTTGGTGTTTTTTTGTTTGGGGTTTTTTTTTGTTTGTTTGTTTGTTTTTCCTGACCTTCTCAAAAATTACCACACACTTTCCTACATGTTCTTTGTCTTATGGCTTTCTTTTCCCCCTGTATTGCATATCATCCGTTTTTCTTGTTCTCTTCCAATTAAAGTTGTTTTCCCAGGTACCAGGTGACTTCAGAGGTTCTTAATCGCCACATATTTCTCTATTAAGAGTTTAAACCCTGCTCTCTTGCTGCTCAGTTTTAACTCCCTCTTATGGGTAGTTATGGGTGGCTTTTGGGAAGGGACTGATACAGCTACTACTCAACTGAAGAAAGGGCAGTCATATAGTGAGGAAAAGAAGCTCTGAGAAGGTAACACTCTCATTGTTGAGTTCTGCAAAGGGCTTGATTATCCAAAAGTGAAGCTCTCAGGTGGGCTGTAATTACCAACCAGTACTGGTTCAGCTACTCTGTCAAACTGCCTGTTGGTACTTCTTTCTCTGTCATCTTTTGGGCAAAACCCATGGACTAGTTGACCTAACTTACTTGCAATAACATGTTTATGCTCACATAGTAAAGAGTTGTCTAGGACATGATTTGTGTGTGATAGGACTAAATTTTTGTTATCGTCTGGACTCCTGCAAATACAAGTTGCTGGTATGTCGAGCATTTAATGACATAATGATACATACTATCAGTTAACATTTGAAATTGGGTATTTTCTCTGACAGAAAATTTGTGAATTCTGTGTTTAACAGTACAGAAGAGTTTTCCTGTGCTGAAAATTCAAGGAACCATGATAAGTTATGAACATGCAACAGTAGGAATAATAATAATAATTCTTGCAGGCACATTGATAAGCTAATGGGCAGCAGAGATCATAAGGTACATTTATGGATCTTGATTTTGTTGCTGAAATACTTTTTATACTGTACTAATTCAACACCAAAGTTAAAGCTACAAAAATGACAAATAATTAATTCATGGGTTTTGTTACAAATGTTAGACTAGACAAAAAAAAAAGTAAAAATTGCAAGTTCTACCTGTCTTGCTGTACTTGTGGTTAACTGAAGACTGGTAACATTTCAGGCTGAGAAAAAATGGTTTATTGCTGGGTGGTAATGTGCTTTTTAAGGAAAGTGTACATTAAAGCTTTACAGAGCAAGCTAGTGCAGCTTTATAGCTTGGTACTTAACATCCTTAGCTAACCAGTGTTGTACTTGGCCCTGCCTTATATGGCACTTGTCATATTAAAAAAAGACCAAACACTAACCAACTTGCAGTTGAATCTGACATGAATCAAGTAAATTATGTGCACTAATGCAAAATCTGATACTTTACCTTGTAGCTAAAGAGTATCTCACAACTGTTTGTGGCATGTCCTGTTGCATGTGCACATATACCTGTATATGTGCACACACAATCTAACGAATATAAATTGATAACCATGGTGGTTTTCTGTCAGTTTGGGCTAGGGATTGTTATTAGGGATGATATACCACTTTCCTTTTTGCTTCCTCATGTCAGGGCTGAGGTGTACAAGCAGACTAATATCAACAAAGTTGTATCTGATTTCATGACGTTGCTATCACTTTATGGTTTGATCGATCCTAGTGGGGGTGCTGATTTTACTTAAAATGCCAATGGATGTTACTGTGAAAGGTCTGTCCAAGTAGTTGCATGCTCTGTTAGAAATTTTTAACATGGGTTCTAGGGTCAAAAGAAGTGATCCTCCTTAGTCTTCCATCAATGGCCTTTCGTAGCTGGACCTTAATATCTGCATCTATCTCTTAGATACCAGGCCTTATTTTTCCTCTCCACACTAAGTCATATTCTGTTGAAAATAGTGTGTAATCTTCTTATGTTAAGTACATTTTCTAGGTTAATATGAGCTACTAGAAACAAAGTTGTTAACTTGAGAGCTTTTTGTCGTATATCTTATGGCAATTTCCCATAACAGGATATTTTTACAAAATTATTGATTCTGTTCTGTCAAACAATGGTGTCTGCCACTTGAAGTGTGTGGAGATAGAAGACTCATGTTTGGCATCCCAAATATGATTGACCAAAGTGGAGTTTTGTGAACCTGTAATAATCCTGTGAATGTATTTTGGTTTTATTAATATTTCCATGTAAAAGTTGATTATAAACTGATTAGTTGCCTAGTATATGGATTTGTTTTCAAAGTGCATCTGTACTTATGCTCTTAAATCGTAAGTGGAATGATGTTCAAAATGAGGTAAATTGTTTTGCATATGCTTATTCTTAGCACACGTGTGTTTGCTCAAGCAGAATACGTTACCATTCTTGTAAAAAATTAAGGAGAAAATTTTCAATTAAGGAGAAGATTTTTAATTAAGGAGAAGAGTTTCTTTAGCTTTTGTTTTGAACTGTGAATTTGTTTCTATTTAATCCTTTTGATGTAATGAGTAATACTGCAATCGTTGAAATTATCTCTGATAGTATAATTTGTTTTCCTTTAAGTGATCATTTTTTGCCACTGGGTACTATCCTTTGAGTATTGTTTCACAGCAGGCCGTGGTTCATGGTTAGCAATGTCAGAACTCTTCTGCTGTTGGGTGACTGAGCGTCAATTGAATCTGGATCACTTTGACTTACTTGTCCGTTTAGTATAAATGCATGTTATAGTTTCTGCTAATATACTACAGTTTTATGCTGGTTTCAAAAGCATGGTCGGTATCTGAACTAGCATATCAATAGCATAGTATCATTTATCAGAACATGTTCTGCCACCAGGTTAAGTCAAAACTATTGGAAAAAAGATGATCTGGCAGATTGAGTTTATATGCCATAATATAACACATCAGAGCTTGGTTTCCAGTCAACACAAACATTTTTGAATCATGAAGCCAGATTGACTATTATTGAACCACGGCCTTTAGGCAATACTGTAATAAGACTTTTTTATTTACAGTTAAATTGTAAATATACTTATTAGTGAAAAACACTGCGTGAAGATGGATTATTTAAAGTTGATCGCATAACTATTTGGGAGCTTTAGACTGCTGCATATGATGAATTAAACTTGTGATATTTAATCTTTAACACACAAAAATGTACAGCATTGCTATATTGAACTTCCTAATCCATTTGATATTATAAAAACAAGAGAGTATAGTTAACTTCGTTCCTTGTACTATTTTTAATCGATGGAAACTTTTGAAAATTTTAACGTTTTTATTTTTATGGAGTAAATGGGAATGTTTTAAGTTCTAAGAATGATAGGTTGATCATGAAAACTATGTTTACTTTCAGAGAGAACAGGAAATGAGAATGGGTGATATGGGTCCTCGTGGAGCAATTAACATGGGAGGTAGGGATCTGAAGGAAAAAGGCTTCTGTAATGTAATTTTTTTTCTTTGGGACTGTACATGTTACTCAAGCACTATTAATCAGTGACAACTACTGGTAAAAAGGAGTAAGCAATATTAGGAAGTAAAAAATCCCACATATTTTGCTTCCGAACAGCTTTCCCTGCCCCCCCGCCAAGGTGTATCTTTATTTTATTACTTTGTCTGTACATGGGAAAAAAAATAAGATGTACAAGTTAAGAAAAACAAAAATCAGGGAAAGATGATACTTTGGAAATTATCTGATACAAAAGAGGAATTTTATGTTCAAAAAATATTTGGCATTCTTTTGGAGGGACTGTCTATTCAGAGAAGTGATTACATGCAGTGAAATGATGGAGCGGTCAAAATTGGCAAGTTCTTGATGAGATTAATGAATAACGTGGTTGGTGTTCTACTAATTTACTGCAAATTTGTATTTGCACATATTCTCAGTTTGCTCTTGTGACTTTAAGTATTGTCACTGCTAAGAACTGTTCCTGTGAAATCTGGAGAAGTATGATAATTAGTGCTTGCTCCATATATGCAGACCAAAACAGTTTGAAATCTTACGTATCCAGTATATCTGCTTTTAAACAAGACTGAAACTTAGAGTATTTCTCCAAAAACACCAAATCTTTCTAAACTTTATTAACTGTCAATATATATCTATCAGAAACTTCCTAGTGTTAATTTAAAATAAATTAAGATGGTAATTTAAGGAAAAGTAGTAGAACTATTTTTCTGTATTTTAAACTTGAAATTACATATAAAACTTAGTAAACATTGTTGCTTGACCTTTTTGAGTAATGAGAGTTTATAGACTAATGAATAGACTAACAAATCTGCTTGGTTCAGCTTTTAAAATATATTATTCACTATTTCCTTGCATTTATTAATTGAGACACATTTATAACTGCAATATAGAAATAGGTTTTTTCTTTCGGGGATGATGAAAAGCTTTAAAAATAATTCTAAAGGAAGACATTGTGAAGTTATCTATAAGTAATGAAATGAAGCATAAATTGTGACTAAATTTTTTATTTTATAGTTGTACTTTTGCGTATCGTTGCCGTATACTTGAAAACTTCATTTAACTAAGAGACTTTGTTGTGCAGATCCACAAGATACACTTTTTACATCCAGATTTTAAGTGTGTATTTACTGCAATTCTTGCCAGGTTTTAATGCTTAACAGTGATGTTCATGGTCTTGTTTTCTAGCTTTTAAACCTAATACTTTTAGAAATAAATTGCATAGTTCCAAAAGAAGTTATAGTAGCACTGAACAGCTATTTTAAAATAGCCATAGCAAATAGTCTAGATTTTAGGTTAGCTGACTATAGAGATTTTGGTTTTTCTCCAGTATTTTAGCAACTCCACAAGTACAACCAAAATAATCTGACCTCGAAACCTTACAGTAGACCTTTACATAGTAGATCTTTAGTTACTGACCTTTGCATCCATTCTCAACATTGCTGTCAGAATTGTAACTTTATTTTTAACTGACCTTTGCCTGTGCCATTTGCAACATTTCATCATGTGAGACAGTAGAGAGCTGGAGTATCTTCACTAATGGAAACATCTGTATTATATTAATAGAAGGCAGAGTACCTCTGTGACAGATTTAATAAGTGTTGGGCTGACTTGGGCAGAACTGCTCCTTTTTGTAGTTTTCAGTGAGAAGTTCTGGGAGAATCTGTATGCCTCATCATAGCACTTAGCTGGATCTGTAATGCTAAGTGCAGCTTATAAACTTCAATATGGAAAAAGGGAACTTTTTTTGGGAACTCTCTCTGCATTGATGAGGATTATTGACTGGCGTGTTGCCAACTGTGGCAGACTTTGGTATGTGCAGTTCAGACATTTATAGTGTACTTTTTCAGCCTTCCAGTTTGCAGAAAAAGACTTTTTTTTTTTAGTGTCTGTGCATTGTTGCATGAACACCTGTGATGGCTTTCCATCTGTTACTAAACCTGGTCCTGTAAATTAACTGCTAACATCAGTGTCCCACCAAAAAGAACGGGCAATCAAGTTGTTAGGTTTTAGCGTCTTTTGGGCAACCTCTGAATTAAAGCTAAAATACTGTAGTGGCCTCTTGCTGAAAGTGTGCAGGGCCCCACTCTCTCCTTGTATTGCACTGTGTAATTTTCCTCCTGTTAGAGCTGACTCTGCCTGAAACAGGATTAATATTACAGATGTCATAGTATAGGTTGCTATATGTCACCCTAGAAGCACTGTGGATGCATTTGTATGATACGGAGCATGAGAACTTTGTTGCAGTTGACAGTGAAGTAATGCTACCTGTGTGTGGCCAGCTGGCTCAGTTTAATTAGCCTGAAAAGCCAATAACAAGTAATTTAGCATTTAGGTAATGGCGCTGCTGCCCGCACTGATCGCTGCCAACGTGATAGTCCTGCAGAGTAGGAAGAGCATCTGAAAAGAAAAGGTTCCTTCTTATATTGGCAGTTTAGACTTCTCCTTTTCCTTCTCTACTTAGCCACAGAATAGATGATACTAAAAGACAATTTAGGGGTAATTCTGTTGAATTGTAGCATGATCTTCTACCCACTTCCTGAACTAATCGTGTGGGTAGGTAAGAAGCATCCAACTTGAGCATATCTTTGTTTTCAGTTAGTGTCATAGGGAGAGGTCTGGGAATTTCTCATTACTATGCTCAAAAGAGTTCTGCTTTTCAAAATTACAGGATTTTTATCTCTTCTGGTAAACTTGTTTAGCATTTTACAGGTGCTACTGTGTTGCATGGATTGTTTTTGCTAAACAGTTTGCAGTTGACATAATGATCAAACCCAGCTCTTCAGTTTCAGCAGCAATATCTTGGATGCCATGGTTTCACTGACTGTTTTGATATGTGTAATCAAGGCAGGTAATACAGATGTAATTTTGCATACTTGCAGATAGTAATAGTACTCTGTCTGTACTGAATGGCCTGCTTACAATGATGTACATTTATATATTCGTTACTGAAGAAGTACAGTTGTGATGAGAAGTGAGAGGGTTTATTTTTAAAATAACAAGCTTATTGGTCTAGCAACATATCCAACTTCTTTGTATTCTTATGGTGTATACTTTTAAGTGTAGGCTAGGTTCTGAAGGTATTTTCATTGAAAAGAATGGATTATTTGGGGCTGGGGGAGGATCACCAGTCTTGATGATATTTCATAATGGCAGATGTGAGCTATATAATCAGACTTTTTTCTTTCTTACCACAACAGGAGAAAATGTTATGAAGGCATTTTTACCTACATGTTGAGTATGTTAATGAGTACTGGCAGAGTGGTGTGTCCTAGTGCAATATTATAGCTAAATGATCTCCTCAAAATATGTTTTCAAACTTTTTTCTACCTCTTACTTTGAATCAGAATTTTGGAGGAGACTGTTCTGTCACTTTGAGTTCTAGCAAAATTTCCCATAGTTTTCTGGTACTTTTCCCATAATAAATTACAGCTGTATTACAAATAATTTATTGTGAAGCTAAGTACCATCTCTGGTATTGCTTTTACTGTGCACTATATACAATTAACATAATATTGATAGAAGAGTACTTGTGAATGTACATTTCATGTGTTAGGATCCCCAAAGAGCCAAGTTGCCTTATAGCTGGCAATATCTGTAAAATGACCTGAGATTTTTTGCTAATTTGTGCTGTGTATACTGCATATATATGCTGTATGAATGCTTCAGTTCCTGCACAGAAACAGTACACCTGTAAAGCTATAAAGGTTGGGATTTTCAAACACATGAGGCAAATTATGTAATGCAAAATACTAGGGATTATTGAGAATCTGTTTAAAAGCAGATGATTGAGATAAATGTACAGTCTCAAAGAATATATATTTTTTTTTATTTCAAGTATTTGAAGTCTTGTACATTTGGCTTTTTAAATATTGTAAATTGTTTGTTTGTTCTTGTAAAATTAAGCTAGGACAGCTCTAAGTATAGATTGTTTTGCATAGATGCGTTTAGCCCAGCACCTGCTGGTAACCAAGGCCCTCCTCCAATGATGGGTATGAATATGAACAACAGAGGAACTTTACCTGGCCCTGCAATGGGTCCTGGTCCTTCCATGGGACCAGAAGGAGCTGCAAATATGGGAACACCAATGATGCCAGATAATGGAACTGTGGTAACGTATCACAAATTTAATTACTTTGAATAGCTGTCATGTCTCATGGCCCATTTTTGTTACCAAAGGTATTTTCACGCTGAATAAGAACGTTATAGATTTTGAATCTGTTAAAAGTAATTGATAAAACCTGTTCATACAAATAATGTACAGCACAGAAGGGCAGTGGTTTTTTGACATTACTATGAAAATCCTACTTCCCTTAGGAATGGTAATCTGTAAATTTAGACTTTTGCTGTTCTTTTCTTTTGTAAAACTAAATTCTATGAATTAGCTTGTCAGAGGTTTTGAAGAGCTAAATGTTGGAAGCTATGTAGTGTGAAGATATCTTTGTGTAAACTATTTAATTTTTTGAAGCAACTTTAGTGTTCTATTTCTTTTCTAACACTGTAAAATGCATGAGAATTGTGACAGTAATTACACCACTTAGAAAACCAGTATGCCAACAGCTGTTGAGCATAACTCTCATATCAATACAGGAAAACTAGTATTGCCGAATTGCCACGGGTGGTAGGGAGTATCTTGTATATATCTGGAATTTTTAATCAGAAGCTATAGGCCATTGGGATGCAGTTAAAGCACTAGCCATTTTTGGTTTGTTCTCATAGCCAGATGGTTACTTTTCCTAGCTGTAATGTCTTATGTAGAGAAACAACTATATCATTTTAAAATCTGATTTTTACATATTTTTTCAATCCTATTCTGTTAATAGATATTTGGGTTACTGGTGGTATGATATAAAGTGATTCTGTTATAGTTTTATTGGAACACGGAAGCATTTTGTAGCTGCACCTTTTTATATATGCCTTCTCAACAGTAGCTGTCTGTGACTGAGCAATCTGTATAATGAAGTTTGAACAAAAAATTTTGTTCCTTAGAGGAAAAATGAGATTTTGATTTTGCACTAAATATATGATGAGTCTGGTCTTTACAAATTAAAAAGGAGAGGATCTCACTTCATGTTGTAGGAGCCAGCTCATTTTATCAGTTGTATAATTTCTCATGAAGGAAGGAAGATGCTATTCACAAAATACTGGTTTGGGAGATGCTTTTGCTGTAGACCACTGTGTTATTGGTCACCTCTAGAACATTCTCTTGTGATTATACAGACGTTGAAAAAGAGGGGTATGGAAAAGAACACGGTATCGTAAATCATGGTATTTAACTTAAACTGTTGTTTTTCTACAAAAAGTCATTCCAGGTATGAAAATGTAGGGAATGTACTGACACTTCAAAATGCATGTTTTAAAAAATGTTTCTTTACTTCCATTTTCTTCTGCATGCTTCTGAAGGACAAATTAGGTTTTATTTTTTGCTTCATTTTGGACTTTGAGTGTTTTCAGTTTGGAGGACAGGCCCCTACAGAAAGGCGTAGCCTTATTGTATTGTTGCTGTTGGAAAGACACTTTAAAGATCCTGTGAGAGGTCTCTACTAAAACACTGTAACAGTTAATTTCCAGTGAGGGATATGGAGACCATGTTTTATAGACCAGAAATAAAAATTTAATTTTTTTAATTTAATGTTTTTCTGAAGTCTTAAGAGGAAAGTTGTAGTAATCTTCTTTTTGTTCCGCTGCAGTCTTTTGAACGACAGATTGTCTTTGAACATAACATTTTCAAAGTAGCTTCCCCCATGTGCTTTTTTGGAGGTTGTTAATTACTGAAGTTTTCTCATTAGCTGGAGAGAGGTTTCCTTATTGGAAAGAGGACTTTACTTTTTGGCCAAAAGTCAAATGGTAAAAATTATCAGGAGTACATGATAAATTATTTGTTGAAATTCAAATCCATTGCTGACAAGCTGGCGTGAGTTAAAGATAATTTTTAAACAGATTTATCCAGTGCTGCAGATTTAAAGGTTCTTTGGCTCAGTAATAGTTCTTTATGCAGCTCTTGAAGTAACATTTCTCTTATTCAATGTCAAACACATATATACAACTATGATCTAAGTTGCATATATTTTTATATTTATAGATTTAATGCTGTTTTTTAGCAAAATATATGTGAACTAGCAGACTTGAGAACTGCAGAGCTCTGCTGCCTTTTCTGGAGTTAGGCTTTCAGAAGAATTCTTTTCTGATTCAGGCATACAAGTAAAGTGCTGGTCTTGAATGTCCTTGTCGAACTCTGAATACCTGGGCAGTTAACGTAGATCTCTATGCAGAAGGAATTTCTTCTGAAAGCATAACTGTCCTCACCAGCTGAATGATGAGTTATTTCCAGATCTGATTGTACCATGTATCTGTGCTTTTAATGGTTTATGTTATGTTGAGTTTAAATTTCACCATGTGGGGTTCTATTTTTAAACACTTATATAAATACTGAACTGTAAGTGCTCAGATGCACGTTTTCTGTTTTAGATCTTAATTGCTAAGCAAATAAATTTGTGTAAGGATATATAACATTAGGCACAGAGCTAAGGAAAATAAATGTGGAATATTAACTGGATTTTTATCCTAGATTGATATTTCAGAATAAGCTTTAGATACATATGAAGTTTTTTTAAACTAAGCATAGTCTAGTTATGCGTTTTGTGACTAATGTAATTTTATTTGGATAGGGTTTTAAAAGTCTTAACTAAAGATTTCTTAAGTGCCATGTAAAAGACTGACTCCAGGTAGCATGGACTTGAAGTATCCACAGATATATGGATATAGAAGTCTTCATGTTATATTGCTATTAAAAGAATAAATGTGCTCTATCTGGAAATAAAAAAGCTGATCCTCCCCAGCCCCCAGTTTGACAATGTTTCTGTGTCTAATTTTTTTAAGGGAGGAGCATTGTAGTTGGTATTTAAGGCAGAATAGCGCTCAGGTATAAAACTGTTTGCTGTCTCCTCTGTTACATAGAGAATATATATTGCTATAGATGTGCTTGTAAAGATGAAGTTACTTTTAGCACCAGAGTTGATCTTAAGTATTGCTTTTAATTTTTAATTTACTTTACAAAGTTGGAGCATAACATTAGCACTCTTTAATTTCCAGCTCTTTTCCCATAATAACTAATTGAATTGCTCCTTTCTTCCTTCTATGTGTGATCCTGATTCTGCTGGACTATCTGCTGAACTCCATGACAACATCACTTGTGGTTTTTGTTGTAACTCATATTTGGCATGTTCCAAATGGACTTGTATTAGCATAATGAGAGATTCCCTCAAGGAGGTCCATCACAGATGGGTTCACCTCTGGTTAGTAGGACGGGCTCTGAAACTCCTCAGCCGCCAATGAGTGGTGTAGGTGCCGTCAGTGGTGGACCTGGTGGCTTTGGTAGAGGAAACCCGGGGGGCAACTTTGAAGGACCTAACAAGCGTCGCAGATACTAAATCTGAATTCATTCCTTACTGTTTTAGAAATTCCAGTAAAACTATACAGTATATGCCTTTATAATTTTAGCTGTTATCTGGAAACGGTTCTATTGTTATTGTAGTCTTTAAAACAGTTTCTTTTGTAAAACTTTTTTTTGTATTCAGTCATAGGCTTTGTAGTATAGAGCAGAAATGATGCGGATCATTATGTAAGGCAATGTGTTTGTGAGTAGCAAAATACGATGTGTGACTATGCTGTAAAACGTGCAGTTATCTGATAACAATAAAAAAATCACTGGAAAGTATTTTGAGAATGTTATTACTAATACTGAGTGAGAATAATTTTATGCTTAATTATAAGTGGCATCATTTTCATTCTTACGTAGTTCCTACTGTGTGTCAAAAAAGTTCCATTCTTAATAGTGAATCTGTTTAGCTAAACTGCGTGGTGCAGTACCTACTATGAAAAACTTATAACACAGCTGCTTTTGTTTTGACTTTGGAAGAGCATAAAATTTTATACCAAGTGTTCTCAAGGCTACTGTGTCCTTGCATCTCAGTGTACCATTGCAAACTTAGTCACAATAGGTTTATCAACAGAGTATATCTGTTAAACACATTTTTAGAAAATTTAACCTGGGAAAGAAAAAACTTTGGAAAGGAATCTGTATGTATGCTTTACTCATAACAAATGAATGAATTTGCCTAAACCATACTTATGCAGAAGAAAATTTGTTGTGACATCTGTGTTCTGGTGATGGTTAAAGTATCTTGCCATTGTGAGGAAGGAGACATTTCTGCAAGCTGGTTTGAAGCCTTGCACTGTGTAGTGCATCATTATTAAAAAGTATACATTTTCCCCAGAAGTTGTTTTGAATAGAAACACATCTGTTATCAATGTGTAACTATTTAATAAGGAAGCAAATATATGTTTTCTAGTGAAAATAAGTGTTCGTTTATAGTTGAGTAATATGCATTTAGAAGGATTGCACTAGTGTTCTTCATAAAGGTTTTACAGAATGACGAATTTGAAAAATACCCAACTCAGGATAGACTTGCTGATTGAGCTGTAAGATAAAACTGATGGTAAAGCTGTTAGGAAGCTTACTGTGATTCTGATTTTGTCAGTCATGGAAGATGATGGAAAAGACCTATTGGTTCTATTCCTGTAATGGCAAATAAGTAGGGATGTAAGAACTGTTTTTATCAGTTCGCTCACATTTTCAGAGATAGAAATGACTTAATTTTATCTGCATGAATACTGATACTAAATTGATTAAAAACTGATTTGAGATAACCTGGTGCCCTAATTATATCAAAACGGTATATACACAGCTGAACATGGAATGCACATAGCAGAGAGGGCATGTATGTGTTACTTGTTAATGTAGCAGCAATAGTCTTGGTGGCTTTAATATTGAGCAAATGGGTAACAAGAAAATTGCAGCATTGCTGGAATTTTAGGAGTACCCTGTTACTTAAATTGCCAGTGTGATAGGACTTAAGATAGCTATCGTTTTCATAGAATGCAGGAGCTATATGTAGGTCCTTACTTGTGATATCTATAACTAATAAGTGTTTTGCTCTAGACTGTCTTTAGTGTTACCATTTTTTGCTTGATTTGAGATACATGCTACACTTCATAGTTTGTAATACAACAGCAAATTATGCTCAGAGTGTGAAATACTCTTTCCCCTACTTGATCTATGTATCACATTATGGCAGTCATTCTTAAAATAAACCACAACCAAAACTGCAACTGGTTTTGCTTAGCAAGCTAGTCCTAAAACTCAACTTTTGGAAAATTTCTGTTTTTTCACTAGTGTAAACCAGTGTTTGCATGTAGCAACTACTTAAGCTCTCTGCTTTGGTATCCTGCATTCAGTTGAAAATGCAGTTTACATTGATGTCAAGTAAGGTTTCTAAATATGAGATTACTTTTTTCTCATCTTTCTGGCCATGTCCATGACATTTTTTAGGGGATTGAGAAAGCATCGGTGTGAATTGGTAGTTCTAAACTGTAAAGCTGTACAAGGAACATGTTTTAAATATAACTTGACTAGATTCAAGAGATTTGTTCTTTTTTTTTTTTTTAATGCAAAAGACTGTGTCATTCAGGCCTTTTAGCTAACTTCTGTGTATTTGTTTATGATATATAACCTCCTCCTTGTAGTGTCTTGAGTATGTTTCAGAAATACATTAAACATACCAAATCTGCAAAAGTGGTTCATTCTTTCCTTGCAGCTTCATACTATTTTAAATGCATGTTTATTGCACTGCATTTTTGCTAGCAAGTGGAGGTATGTATGTGTTTGAAAGTTACTGTACATTTTAATTAATATTAATGGTTCCACAGTTGTGAGCTACCCTTCCTGTAAACCTCTGCATGGTAGCAGTGGATTTGTCATCTGTCCTTACTGCATGAAATCATCTAATCTCTTACTTATCCTTGAACCAAGTGCTAACAAATAAATACTGAAGTGTTGACTTTGGGCACACTAAAGATTTCATGAAGAATGCCTTTTGTAGCTGATGACACACTGCCAAATTCAGCTCTTAATAAAAGCTTTCTTAGGACTGCCTGGCTGTGTTGATTGCACACAGCTCAACTCTCAAGGGAGGGCTTCTTGTTTTGCTGAATGTGCTAGTAACTGATTCTAGCTATACAATAAACACCTAATTTCCTTAAAAAAGGAATGGTCTCAGTTTGTTTCCTGAGCAGTGTTGTTTCTTAAAGGTTCTGCCTTTGCACTGAAGTGATTGATTTTTCTTGCTTCTCATCTGGCTGATGGGTTTATAATTTTTTCTGTGTACACATGTACTTAAGTTGAGTACCTTTGCTCTGTTTGAGTAGAAAGCACAGTGGAGTCCTGACTCTCTTTGCTGTGTGCTGTGCTAAAACAAATAGGTTTGGAATGGATATGAAATTGATAACTACAACACACTTGCTTTTGTAACGTACTTACTGAGCTTTTACATTATTCCTGAAATTTCCATCTAAACTGCTTAATTTTCATGTGGGATACAATTTTAATACTGAAAAATAACAAAGCTTTATGATTCCATTTAAGTTAAAGAAAACATGTCGCAACCAGACTCTGGCTTGTCTAACTGCATTTGCATTTGTCACTGCAGTCATTTGAAAGGGAGCTATTGGGCACTTAAGAAATAAAAAATTCATTTTGGTTTTGAGTTACTATCTTCGTAGTTCTGTCCAGTGTGCTCATTAGATAGAGCATGTTGATATCTTAGGAAACTTTGTGGTGATTCAAATATACTTTACTGTATTTATTTCCTAAGAAAAATACCAATTACTATGGATTACCTAGAAAGAAAATTTCTGTCCTTAGTGTTTCGTTTATTGTCCATTTATATTTTACCCAGTTGTACATAAAGACACTTATAAACTGGAGATTCGTACTGGAAAAGAAGGCAAGAAAACTATGAACTAAATATTGCATTAATTTAATTCTAACCATAATCCGTTAGGATTTTATAGCATGCCACCTTTGAGGAGCATTCTGATCTAAAATATCTTGTCATATTTTAAAATGTTATACCAAAATAATTTTCTCCCTTTTCCACTTTTGATGTCAGGTGTAGAATAATCTTTAATTGCAAATCTTTGAAAACGCAGTGACATTGTGACCGTTTAGCAGTGTGTAGTTCAATTTGCCTTGAGATAACTTGGCTCAAAAATGCTGAAATAACCCATCTAAAGGCAGATTCTCAAGTGAAAACTAAAACCCATTAGGCCTTTTAAAAAGAAAAAAATGTGCTTGGAGGTGAGATGTTCAGCAGATGAGTGGTGTGCTCTGATGGCATGAAGTTCGTTTTACTTAAGCATGTTGCAGAAACTAATTTTTTTCATACTTTATATATATTTATAACAAGTTGGATCATAATTTTTTCCTTCACAAGTCAAAATAAACTGTAATTGAACTATTTAAATGGCAAGGAAAGCTGGGTAGTGACTGGAGTCAGATTACCTTGAAGACAAATGTGAAGGGATTATTCTAAATCCCATTCCCAAGACTCGAAGTGGTGCATATCCATAGGTGGTTTTAAAGTCTGCATCCAGCATCTTTTGTTAAGCTTGTGCTTGTGCCCAAGGCTGGGGGACTTTAGAGAGCACATACTTCAAATGAAATTTGTCTTCTCAGGAGCCCTGAAATTATTAATATTGGCACTGTGCTGTCATTCAGATGCAAAATTATCTTGGGATTTGGTGCTTTCTTTGGACTGTTAGCTCGCTTCTGTAGCATGAGGGAATATCCGTCCAAACTTCCCTGATTCATGAACAGTAAGGAGGGAGTGAGTGTGATCTGTGGGAAATGGAGAGGCTGGACGTTACTATTCCAGATGATTCCATTCAGTGCTAATTTAGTGGAAAATGTTGGACTGTAGTAACCCAAAAGTATTTGCTTTCTTAAAAATTCACGTATTGAACTGTGAGGACTTAATAACAACAGGGGTCGACTAAAAAGTAGAAATACCCAATGTTAGGTATAATTTTCCCCATTGAATTGGGGTTTTATTGCCTTTTGGGATATACTGCGAAATAGTCTTAGTAGGTAGTCTCACTAGTTTGGTGTTTTGTTGATAGTTTTGTGGTTTTCCCCATAAAGTATTTTTTAAAAATCATAGTTGTAGGCATTTCAGGTGTGTTTTCACAGTACTCCATAGAATACTGAAGTTTATAAAAATTAAGTTATCTATGTCTAAAATGTTACTTGTAGAATAGATAAAACAGAACATTTTCATGAAAACAGTACTTTTGATGATTTTAAATGCATGGAAACAAACCCTTAATTGTTCACTTTTAGTGGGATAGATTTAATAGGTCTTTTCCATCTTTAACTTCCTTAAAATACTATGAAAATTTATATAAGATTGTAATTTGGAGGTATTCTTATTAATGACCTCAACCTGACTCTTAAAAGCAATGAGAGATGGGTTTCTTCAGAAAAGAGTTTGGAACAGCAACCATTTTTCCCTAATTAAAGGAACTACTCAAAAAAGTTTAAATTCAGAGATGAGCGTAGCGTACTTGCAGGTAAAACCATTAGAAGAACCCCTGCTTTCATATAACAATTATTATATACCCAAATCACATTAAAAGAAAAAACCCAATTTTGTAAATGCAAGTAAAAACTTAACTGATTTGTATGTGGTCCCTCGAGTAGAGAACAAAATGCTCATAATGAGAGGTATGGGATTCAAAAGGAACTTGACTGTGTTACTACATACATGTGTTGATAAGGTTTTTCCATTTGTTTTGGTAAATGGTTTGTCTAGCGTTTCCATTGTTCCTAGTTTTACTAGTGTGCTTTTTTATCTCAATTTCTGTAGAGTAAAGCATAGCTGTATAATTTGATTGAATTTACATGCTAATTGTATGTGGGACATTAAGTGCTTGACTTAAAAGAATTGCAGTGAGAATAAAGATACTGTTCTTGCCTTTAAGTGAAAAAACCTGTGTAGATCCTGGAACAGGAATAAGTGTGAAGGGTCCTGTATGTAAATTGAAAAAAAAAATGGGAGAGAGGGAATAAAGTAATGTAATAAAATGGGAGAAGTGTGGTTCAATTTTATATCTACAGCAGATTCACAAAAGTAACTTGAAATCTTGTTCTACGTGAAAACCACAAACCAACTAATTTTTAATGTAAAAGATGGAAATACCGGGTACATTCATGCTTGGATTTTTTTAAACTGAGTTTAGTGTTGTGGAGATGGCCAAGGAATAGCAGAAAAACTGAAATTAATTATTATTCTAAAAATACTTAATATTTTTTGGGCGAACAGTGGGGTCACTGCAGTTGGCTGTGTTTCTTCTATGTTGTTATGAAGTTGTTCTGTAGGGCTTGCTTTTGCGGCTGAATACAGCAACTGTATACAGCACACACACATGATGTTGTCGTAAGTATGAAACAGCTGATTTTAAGATTGATAGCCTCTCATCAAACCAGTGAAACTCCAGTCTTACATCTGTGTCAGACAGAGAAGCACCAAACAGAAGACCGTGGTAAAGAAAAATAAAATAGTACATATTTGTTAGTAATGATGGGATGGGATTAAGGTATTTTCATTGATTTTTTTTGCCTTGCAATCAATTTTTTATTTGTGTGACAGGGAATGTAATTTTATTATCAGTGAATATTTGAAAGAAAAAAATCTTTTCCTAAACAAAACACCTCTCTCAAAAAAAACCCCAAACCCAAAAAATCTCGGTGCAAATCCCACCCGTGAGCAAAACAGGTCTTCCCTCTTTAAATGCTTAAGCAGGGTGGAAGAGGAAATGTAATAAATGTAAAAATATGTAAAAACCACAAGGATTTGTTGTAATTCTTTTTGCATCTGTTTGCTCTTGATGTTCTGGGCATTTTAATGTGTTTCTTTTTTAAAAAAATGTTCTATTACTGTTCATTCTTAGCTCTAAAAGGATTTATTTTGCAGTGCTGTTACTAAGCATTAAGTATTTTATCTAGTGTAAAATTGCATGAAAAACCGCTGCTGCATAAACCAGCTCCCACAGTACTGTAGAATGCAGTCTTTGAATTACCAGCTGGAATTAGTCTTTCAAACTGCTTCCAAATGTTTTAAATATTTGTTTGCTAATGGGAAATTGGAAATATTTTTGTGCATATTTAAAATAATTCAGTACATGCATTGCTGCAGATATGAATAAGCCCTTTGCCCTCCTTGCTGCTCGGTCCTGCTTCTTGCCTACCCTGAGTCCCCCTTGCATCCCTGTGCCCAGGCAGTGAGCAGGGTAAAGGAGACCCAGTGGGAGTTACAATTCTTCTCATTTCAGTGTGGAAGGAAAGAAGAGCAAGGAGCGGGCAGTAGAGCAGGACTCTTCATAACTGTGCAGAAATAGCTTAGTTTGTGCTGTAGACACAGAATGTAATTTTATATATGTTCTCATTAAGTGACTTTGGTAGGATCTTCAGTACTTCTAAGAAATATATATCTTAGAACAAATAGATAAGAAGCATGTTGAGGACTTTAGATATATGAATAACATGGTTATGTTTTATATTCTGAGTGATAATTGGTCTAAGAAGGAAAGTATTTGAAGTAATGAAGAAAAAAATGTGCACTAAAATGTTGAGCCAAATTTTTTGTGTGAGCTTGACCTGTCTGTTCACTTTCTGCAGTTGCCAAGAAGGTTACATGCAAGCCAGTAAAATATGGAAAATAGTGTTCTCCGTGATTTCTCCAGAAAAGATGCTATACACAGTTGCTTTAAAGAAGCAAGACTATTCACATGTACTTTTTCTTGGAAGAAAATATGTAAACTGCAATTAAAAAGATGGAAATACTGTCTTTTAAAATGCTAACGGTCTTCATTCTTTGACACAATAGCACTGTGTTGTTCCATATATTATGTTTCGCTTTTAAGGGAAAGAGCATGTGAAAGGTAAGCCACAGCTCCAGTTCTAATCAACTTCAAATCAAAAGCCTTTTCCAGAAGGCACAGAAGGAAAACAGTAATAATGAAACAGCAGTTCATTTTCAGTTTTGTTCCAGTTTGGAGCATTGTGCTTCTAGAACTTCCAGCATTGTATCAGTAGCAGTTCCACATTTTCAGAACCAGAGCCGTGCCAAATAATGTAAATAAAGTTTCTGCCTTAGTGTGTGAAGAGTGCAATTACTGCATTTCAAAAACTGAATGTTTATAGAGTTTTTAAAGAAAATGTATAAAAACATTGTTGTATATTGAATTGCTGGTTTAAAAGTGAAAATTATGTCAATTTGCCGGTTGGGATGGCTGTGCTTTTAGAACCATTTTTGGATATGTGTCGGGTTATCGTTGCCATGTTAGTCTTTGTGCAGTTTTTGTAATACCACTTCATGCGAGTTCACCATCATTCTTGCATCACAATTGTGTAGTTTCATATTTTAGTCGCATTGATGAATGCAAGTGACTGTAGAACGGGGGTTCTAGAGCATTTGTTTTGTAATATGTAAGTTGTTTAGGAGAATTTTTCATTGCTAAGCTTGCTTTCTGTTTGGTGTTCACTCTGCATGTTTTGAGCAAAATACATTTTTTCTATTGCATAGGGGGAAAAAGTAACAAGTAATGAAAAAGTATTTATTAGGAGAGTAAATGGAAATCCTGTATGCCTCTTACAGCTTCTAAAATGGCAACTGATTCAGGAGAATAAAATCACTTGGTATACTTCCTGCATCATTACTCTAGACTTTTTCCTGCTTAGGGCACACTTCAGTATTTATATTAAAGATAAAAAAATAAATCTGTTTAGTTTCCGTCTGCTTTTAATCCCAAGTATGTGTACAAGACAGTAAATTAAGTCCAAATGTCTTGGTGTTTGCTCTGAATAGTACTCCAACACCCCAAGTTGCATAAAACATGAAAAAAAATCAGTTTGAGTTTCATAGTTTTTAAAACAAAACTTTTTAACTAATAAGTTAGAGTAAGCCAGTCCTCTGGGGCCCTGAGAAAGCACAAATCTATGGAGAAATCATGCTCTTGTTTTGAGTTGCATTATGTTACTGAGCATGCATTTTTTATTCTTTGGGACTATTGTGTGAAACTGTGTTACAAAGATTTAATAAGAAATATAATTTGTCTTATTTTATCCAGTTATAAGTATTAATTCATTACTAGCATCCTAAAAATAGAATTGGTAATTTAGCTACATATACTTTACTGCAGATGATGGCATGTAGTGTATCAGAAACAGGGTAATTCAAGTGTTGGTAGTTACTAGTAGTATGTTGTGCTTTTAGGCCTAGGTGGATAAAAGCTGATCTCGAGCATAGCAGTGTTTTGCCCAGAACCTTGAAACTATATTTGCATTTCTGCTTTATTGCCGTGGTAGTCATGGAAGTACTCACAGGTTTGAAAGTGTATGTCTAGATATTTGAGGGAGAAGGAGATAAAGGATTGATTAATGTATGTTGCTTAATTCTTGAGGCATTGGTTGGGAGAACTGGTATTGTAGAATCTTCTTTGTATGATAATTTTTTTAAAAATCAAAATTTTTTAAACAGTCTTGTCTATTCAAAACTACCAATGTGGAGGTGTATCATTAAAGAGGTGGAAAAACTGTATTTTACTAAAAGTCTTATTTGAGTTCTTGATCTTTCACTGATTAGACATTGAGGATATTGTGCCTCGACCCTAACCTTCTGTTACGATTATGGTGAAAATTCTGCAAACTTCTGCAAGGCTTTAAAAGGGGTGTGAGGATGTAAGGTGACATACTGACTACAGGATTGGGCCAAATCATTAGTCTTTGAAGCTTGTTACTGGCCTGCTCTGGTTATCCTAACCCATTCCATTTAAGACGCTGTTTTCTATTGTGTATTCCAGGTTTTCTTCTGTTGTAAAAGCATTAAATTTTCTTTATGATGTGGAAGATATGAGCTGTATGAAGTTTTATTTGAGGATTCTAACACTGAACTTGATGGAAATGGGTTAAAGAAAAGCATCAGATGTCAGATGCACAGTAAAAACAGTTCTTTATACAATTTGGCAGGTTGTTACGTATCTCTCCATGTGTGTTTTATAAGTATATGAATATCATTTATGTATTCATAATCTGTTGTGTCGTTAAAAAGAATTTGTCTCTTCCTAAGGGGGCAAAAAAAAAAAAGGACTTTGTTCTGGATTAATTAAATTTCAAAGTTTCTCTTTTGTGTAAATAAATACACAATAAGTAACAGAATACATGAGAACTTAATAGTTATCCTTTCTAAACTCACAGGTGTGTGGAAATACTAATATGGAAAAGTAAAAGTAGATAAGTGCTCTTCATAGATTTACAGATGGGGAGATAATATTGTGGAAAAACAGGAAGATGTGGTTTGACCTCATCTTTCACTTTACTGCATCTAAAAATTTAGAAACTCATAGAATTAAAAACCCCAAGTAATGACTCTTAGAAACTTCATCTAAAATTCTTAAATGTTGTTTCAAAATTCTGCTATAAATAAAACTAGTTCAGCGTAAACATAAATAAAACTAGTTCAGTGAGAACATTCAAATAAAATACATGTTTTAATGGACAAAGTAAGTCTGAAAACCTGTGTTTCATTAAGATGTGGAGAAGAGTTAACGTTATTAGGGAGTTGGCTATATTTTCTTATATTTTTAGTTTTTATCTACATAACCTTAAAGGAAAAGAGGTGAAACTACATTAGTGACATGCAGGGAAAGGTCTAAATATACAAGACAAAACTGTGCTGGGAAAGGGCTGAAGTCCAAATATGTATAACTTATGTACCAATGCATCCAATAGAGGACTTCAAGTTCAGAGAGCTCCTGTGTAAAATCAGGTGCTACCCAAATCTGGTCCTGCTCTTACTGCAGGAAAATGTCATCTTTGCCTTGGTTGTGACAAAACAAGAATAGGGTTATCAGGATTCAGGTTTATGAAGAACATAATTATCTTGCCATAGTGATAAATCTGAATGGTTGAAGAGTTAGCATCTTAGGTAGCTTGTCTGATTAGTGGGTGTGTGTACAGCTGCATGATGGTCACAGCCTTCCCACTACTTGGAATATGGTAGTGCCTTTGGTTGTTTCAGCAGTTGCTTCAT